AGTGTTATCTAGTTAGGTTATGAAACATCTGCAAGTAAACAATCAAGATTAAAAAGTATCAAGGACCCCGTTTTCTCTTTCTTTCTTTCTTTCTTTCTTTCTTTCTTTCTTTCTTTCTTTCTTTCTTTCTTTCTTTCTTTCTTTCTTTTCTTTCCCTTTCCTTCCCTTTTTCTTTCTTCCTCCTCCTCCTCTTTGCACACCCCACTCCCTTCTAACTCTGATGGTGTTACCTAGCTGGCTTAGGAAATGTCTGCAAGAAAACCATCAAGCTCAGAGAGCACCAAGGACCCCATAGTCCTTCTCTCTCTCTCTCCTCCTCCCTGCAAACCCTCCTCCCTCCTAGCACTGATGATGTTCCCTAGTTGGGTCATGAAACATCTGCAAGAAAACCACCAAGTTCAGAAAGCACCAAGGACCCCCAGTCCTTTTCCTCCTCCTCCTCTTCCCTCCCGCTGGAACACCAGCTGGTCACCATTAAACTGTGAGACCCTCTCCATCTAAGTCCCTTTCCACCCTCACAGAGGCTCCTGGCCTCCGGATGTAAGCATGTGTCTGCGTGGTCTCGAACCCAGATCGACTTCTAACACCGCGGTAAATTCCTGAATACAGTTCTGGCTCCAGCGTCTGTCTTCCACTTCACCAAATTAGATCTCTGCCTTGTGAACTTTAGGACCCACCTGTGCGTCTTTATCTGCGCCAAATCTCCTCTGACTCCTGAGAAACAGGGCCTGTTTTTTTTTTCTTTTCCCAGACAGATACACCCAGTTCTGCTCTATTTACAGTGATATTTAATATATAAACATCCTTGTCTTAGCCAAGGCTATGCAGGCAGGTCTCTGCAGATAATTTCCAGAGGGAGATTCCAGAATATCTTATTTGTTCCACTCCTTCCGGTGTTCTTGGATACCTGGGGTTCTTCTCTCCAAAGAACGCAGGAGAAGGGGGAAAAAAAGGACTCTTTTCTGGATTTTCTAGATCCCAGTCGCTCTGTCCTTGCGACTGCTGATCCCTTCTCTGACAGCTTTGCTCAGCAGATCGCTCTCAGATCCTGCTTGCCCCTGCTGAACCTCGACAAGATTCCTCTCCCGGATCCAACCACATCACCGGTCTGTGCCCCAGCCAGACAGCTCCACCAACTCCAGCAACCTCTCTTAGATAACAGAATACGAGAGTTGGAAGGGACCTTGGAGGTCTTCTAGTCCAGCCCCCCCCCCGCTCAAGCAGGAGACCCTGGACAATTGGGGGTCCGATTATCTTTTTAAAATCCTCCAGTGTTGGAGCAACCCACAACTTCTGGAAGCAAGTCGTTCCACTGGTTAATGGTTCTCCCTGTCAGGAAATTCTTCCTTATTTCTAAGTTGGTTCTCTGCTTGATTAATTTCCATTCATTGCCTCTTGTTCCCTTCCGGGAGGGGGGGGGCTTCGGGGTATCCGAAGCAGAACATCCCAGTTCAACCAGAGTTTCATTCCACGCAGCATTAACCTTGCGAACTCTCAAGCTTCCTCCTTCTGTTATGTATTCAAGATGGGCAGTATTTAATATTTATTTGCTACGTATATGTAGAGATGTGGGTCTACACATATGTTGTTCATAGTATGTCTAGGTGTGCGTCGTGTGTGTTTCACTTTGAGAGCGGGCAACTAAATTTCATTTTTGATGTGTGCCATTGTGCCCACAGTATACAAATGACAATAAAGGTTATCTTGTCCTGCCTTCAGGCGCTTTGGAGAATAGTTGTTTAATAATAATAATAATAATAATAATAATAATAATAATAATAATAATAAAGTTGGAAGGGACCATTGAATCCAACCCCTGCTCAGGCAGGAAATCCTGTACCATTTCAGACAAATGGCTGTCCAGTCTCTTCTTAAAAACTTCCAGTGTTGGAGCATTCACCGCTTCTGGTGGCAGGTTGTTCCACAGGTTAATTGTTCTAACCGTCAGGAAGTTTCTCCTTAGTTCTAAGTTGCTTCTCTCTTTGATCAGACCTCCGGTTTTGTGGAGGTATGGATGTAGTGTTGAATACAGAACACAGGGTTGGGGAAGGGACCTTGGAGGTCTTCTAGTCCAACCCCCTGCTCAAGCGGGAGACTGTATACCATTTCAGACAAGTGACTGTCTAGCCTCTTCTTAAAAACCTCTGGTGATGAAGCACCCACAACTTCTCTCTCTCCATTTCTCTCTCTATATATATCTCCATATCTATCTATCTATCTATCATCTATTTTTCTATGTATCTATCATCTCTATCAATCAATCTCTATTAATCTATCATGTATGTATGTATGTATGTATCTATCTATCATGTATCTATCATGTATGTATCTATCATGTATATATGTATGTATCTATCATGTATGTATCTATCTATCTATCTATCATCTATCTCTATCTAATCTATCTATTTTTCTATGTATCTATTATCTGTCTGTCTGTCTATCATCTATTTATCTATGTATTTATCATCTATCTATCATCTATATCTATCAATCAATCTCTATTAATCATCTGTATGTTTGTATGTATCTATCATGTATGCACGTATCTATCATCTATATCATGTATTTATCTATGCACCTATCAACTATCTATCTATCTATCTATCTATCTATCTATCTATCTATCTATCTATCTATCTATCTATCTATCTATCTACCTATCTATCTATCTATCTATCTATCTATCTATCTATCTATCTATCTATCTATCTATCTATCTATCATCTATTTATCTATCTAATCTATTTATCACCTATTTTTCTATGTATGTATTATCTATCTATCATCTGTCTATCTCTGTCTATCTATCATCTATTTATCTACAGTCAGGTCCAGAAATATTGGGACATCAACACAATTCGAACATCTTTGGCTCTATACACCACAATGGAGTTGGAATGAAACAAACACAATGTGCTTTAACTGCAGACTGTCAGCTTTAATTTGAGGGTATGTACATCCAACTCAGGTGAACGGGGTAGGACTTACAGCAGTTTGCATATGTGCCTCCCACTTGTTAAGGGACCAAAGGTAATGGGACAGAATAATAATCATAAATCAAACTTCCCTTCTTAATACTTGGTTGCAAATCCTTTGCAGTCAATCACAGCCTGAAGTTTGGAACGCATCGACATCACCAGACGCTGGGTTTCATCCCTGGTGATGCTCTGCCAGGCCTCTACTGCAACTGTCTTCAGTTCCTGCTTGTTCTTGGGGCATTTTCCGTTCAGTTTTGTCTTCAGCAAGTGAAATGCATGCTCAATGGGATTCAGGTTAGGTGATTGACTTGGCCATTGCATAACATTCCACTTCTGTCCCTTCACAAACTCTTTGGTTGCTTTTGCAGTTTGCTTTGGGTCATTGTCCATCTGCACTGTGAAGCGCCGTCCAATGAGTTCTGCAGCATTTGGCGGAATGTGAGCAGATAATATTGCCCGAAACACTTCAGAATTCATCCTGCTGCTTTTGTCAGCAGCCACATCATCAATAAATACAAGAGAACCAGTTCCATTGGCAGCCATACATGCCCACGCTGTGACACTACCACCACCACGCTTCACTGATGAGGTGGTATACTTAGGACCATGAGCCGTTCCTTTCCTTCTCCATACTCTTCTCTTCCCATCACTCTGGTACAAGTTGACGTTGGTCTCATCTGTCCATAGGATCTTGTTCCAGAACTGTGAAGGCTTGGTTAGATGTTGTTTGGCAAACTCTAATCTGGCCTTCCTGTTTTTGAGGCTCACCAATGGTTTACATCTTGTGGTGAACCCTCTGTATTCACTCTGGGGAAGTCTTCTCTTGATTGTTGACTTTGACACACATACACCTACCTCCTGGAGAGTGTTCTTGATCTGGCCAACTGTTGTGAAGGGTGTTTTCTTCACCAGGGAAAGAATTCTTCGGTCATCCACCACAGTTGTTTTCCGTGGTCTCCCGAGTCTTTTGGTGTTGCTGACCTCACCGGTGCGTTCCTTCTTTTTGAGAATGTTCCAAACAGTTGTTTTGGCCACCGCCTAGTGTTCTTGCTGTCTCTCTGATGGGTTTGTTTTGTTTCTTCAGCCTAATGATGGCTTGCTTCACTGATAGTGACAGCTCTTTGGATCTCATCTTGAGAGTTGACAGCAACAGGTTCCAAATGCAAATAGCACACTTGAAATGAACTCTGGGCCTTTTATCTGCACATTGTAATTGGGGTAATGAGGGAATATCACACACCTGGCCATGGAACAGCTGAGAAGCTGTTATGCAAACTGCTATAGGTCCTACCCCGTTCACCTGAGTTGGATGTACATACCCTCAAATTAAAGCTGACAGTCTGCAGTTAAAGCACATTGTGTTTGTTTCATTCCAACTCCATTGTGGTGGTGTATAGAGCCAAAGGTGCTCGAATTGTGTCGATGTTCCAATATTTCTGGACCTGACTGTATGTATCTATCATCTATATCAATCAATCTCTATTAATCTATCATGTATGTATGTATCTATCTATCATGCATGTATGTATCTCTCTATCTATCATCTATCTATCTCTCTATCTACTATTTTTCTATGTATCTATTATCTATATCATCTATCTGACTGTCTATCATCTATTTATCTATGTATCTATCATCTATATCAATCTCTATTAATCTATCATATGTATCTATGTATGTATCATGTATGTATGTATCTATCATCTATCTATCTATCTATCTATCTATCTATCTATCTATCTATCTATCTATCTATCTCATGTATTTATCTATGTACCTATCAATTATCTATCTATCTATCTATCTATCTATCTATCTATCTATCTATCTATCTATCTATCTATCTATCTATCTATCTATCTATCTCTATCTTTACTCATTTTAATCAGAATAGAGCTGAAAGAGCCCATTCCTGAAGGAGACCCTCTACCATTTCAGACAAATGATTGTCCAGTCTCTTTTTTAAAAAATTCCAATGATGGAGCACTCACAACTTCTGGAGGTGAGCCTTTCTACTAATTAATTGTTCTCCATGGTCAGGAAATTTCTCCTTCATTCCGGGTTTCTCCTCTCCTTGATGAGTTTCCATCCGTTGCTTCTTTTCCTGCTTTCAAATGCTTTGGAGGGTATCTTCCCGGATGTGACCCATTTAAAGTTATGTCTCCTTGATCGACAGGCGAGAAAAGGTCCCCACGGATTGAATCTCTCCTTCCGGGTTGGTGTTAAGAGGTTGCTTGCTTCTCCCTCTCCGACTATGTGACTCTGCAATGTTTTAAATCTGCCGCTTAAGAAAGCCAGCCCGCTTCGTCACGACATAACAGGCCGGGCAGGGGGCTTCAGACCTCCAGGAAAGCCCATCTTCAGATGATGGACACTGTTGGCTTCTTGAGAACCAAAAGAGGGTTACTCGAACCATGAAAAAGACCCAGGCAAGAGAAGGTTCTGGACACACGGACTGGCGATTCTCCTGAGAAATGAAAAGAACATTTCAAATCAGTGATGCAACTTTTTGTGCTTCTGCGGAAGGAAATCGGCCAAGGCAGATTTTTCGGACCCAACTGGGACTTTTTTTTTCTTCTTAGAATAGAGGTTGGATGTTTTCCTGCCACTGGGCTTAACCCAGAAAATTCAGATAGTCCTCGGCGTACGACCACAGCCGAGCCCAAAATGTCCGTGGCTAAGCGAGACGTTCGTTCAGTGAGTTTTCGCCCCATTTGACGACCCTTTCTCACTCCAGTGGTTAAGTGGATCCCTGCCGATGTTATGTAAGTAACACGGTTGTTAAGTGAATCCGGCTCCCCCCCCGGTTGACTGTCAGGAGGGTCGCAAAAGGGGATCACGCGACACCCCTCCCCCAGGGACAAGGCAACCATCACAATGACGAGTCATGCCTCTGAATTTGGATCATGTGATCATGGGGATGCTGCAACGGTTGTAAGTGTGAAAAAGGGTCATCGGTCGCTTTTTTCCGCGTCGCTGTAACTTTGAACGGTCACTAAATGAATCGTTGTTAAGTCGAGGACTACCTGTAGCCTTCCTAGTGGTTCCTGCAGCGTATAATCAGTGGGGGACTTTAATCTTTTGATTTAACCCAGTGGTTCTCAACCTTTTTAATGCCGCGACCCCCAACCAGTCGTAAGTTGAGAACTATTCAACCAGTCGTAAGTCGAGGACTACTCAACTGGTGCAGCCCCGTTTGCAGAATGGGACTTTTGGCGGGCTCAGCAGTGTAGAGACAGCCTGGATAATTCCTATTGGCTTTGGAAAGCCAATAGAATTAGACTCTATTCAAGAGAGTCTATCCTATTGGCTTTCAAAAGCCAATAGAAGAAAAGGGAGTAGCACAGCTAAGGAAAAGGGGGGAAAAAATGGCGGACTGCGTTGTTTGGCGACCCCCGTGAAATGGTCGTTCGACCCCAAATGGGGTCCCGACCCACCGGTTGAGAACCACTGATTTAACCTTTTGCCTAGACTGGACATCTACTTCCGCAGGTGGAACAGCAGCATCCTCAGTTTTTCCCATCTCTGGTTACCTAGTATAAACTCTGGTTTGCGGCCGCATTTCTGAGACCGATATGCTGGAGAAGACCTGCACGATCTGAGACCAAATTCTCTCCCTCGAACAGCAAAGCCTTCCTTCCTTTTTGCTCACAGCGCTTACAGGCCTCCTTGAATCTGAGGCAATCCCAGCTGTACCGTCACCATATGTCCTTTATAATGAAGGACAGGTCCTATGTTTGTACTGATGATGTTGCCTAGTTGGGTCATGAGACATCTGCAAGAAAATCACTAAGCTCAGAGAGCACCAAGGATCCCATAGTCCTTTTCTTCTTCCTCCTCCTCCTCTCTGCAAACCCCCCTCCCTTCTAGCACTCATGATGTTCTCTAGTTGGGTCATGAAACGTCTGCAAGAAAACCACCCAGCTCAGAGAGCATCAAGGACTCCACAGTTCTTCCTTCCTTCCTTCCTTCCTTCCTTCCTTCCTTCCTTCCTTCCTTCCTTCCTTCCTTCCTTCCTTCCTTCCTTCTCCTTCTCCTTCTCCTTCTCCTTCTCTTTCTTCTCCTTTCCACTCCCTCCTAACACTGATGATGTTTCCTACTTGGGTCATGAAATGTCTGCAAGAAAATCACCAAGCTCAGAGAGCACCAAGGACACCTTAGTCCATTTCCTCCTCCTCCTCCTCCTCCTCCTCCTCCTCCTCCTCCTCCTCCTCCTCCTCCTCCTCCTCCTCCTCCCTGCAAACCCACCTCCCTTCTATCACTGATGATGTTCCCTAGTTGGGTCATGAAACGTCTGCAAGGAAACCACCCAGCTCAGAGAGCACCAAGGACCTCACAGTTGTCTTTTTCTTCTCCTCCTCCTCCTCTTTTCCCTCCTCCTTCTCCTCTTCCCCTTTCTCCTTCTCCTCTTCCTCTCTGCACTCCCTTCCAGCACTGATGATGTTCCCTAGTTGGGTCATGAAAGGTTTGCAAGAAAACTACCAAGCTCGGATAGCACCAAGGACCCACCAGTCGTCATTTTCCTCCTCCTCCTCCTCCTCCTCCTCTCTGCAAACCCCCCTCCCTTCTAGCACTGATGATGTTCCCTAGCTGGGTCATGAAACGTCTGCAAGGAAACTACCCAGCTCAGAGAGCACCGAGGACCCCAAAGAATGATATATTTCAGCTCACCTGACACCCACTTGTATGCAGCTGAAGCTTCTGCTAGCCTCGATCTCTTCTTCATCACCTGTTCTCCATGCATGCTTCTATTGATCTCACCAGGGCATCACTTCTTCGTCTTTTCCAACTCCAGCTTGCTCTTCCTCTTCCTCTCTCCTCGTGCTCAGCTCCTGCTCACGCAGGTACACCTGCCGAGGACAACTGAAAGTGCCCCAAAGTGATTTACAGCCTCCTTTTCAAGGTTTTGCAAGAGGGGAACGGACAGACACCGTGTCCACCCTGACTCTGGACATCGTGCTTAGGACCTCTTTTCCCAAAGCTAGACGATGCTTTGATGCCCAGCAGGATCACTCCACCGGTGGAGGTAATCCCATTAGCATTGGATCTTCTTCATTCGCCGGACCGGGATCTGGAGCCTCGCCAGCCGATGCTGATCTTCCTCCTTCAGATCCCAAGGGATCCATGGGGATCACTTCCACAGAAGGGACCCTGGCCTGCCTCCAAGGAGCGCTGCGGGATGAAAGGAGATTTAAGGCACGCACCAAGTTGGCAGCCCTACGTCGAGAAGAGGCTGGCAGCGGCAGTCAAAAAGACTGGCTGAATGAATGAATGAATGGAACCCCTTTATTCCATTTGGAAATTGGGGTGGCTGTGCTGACGATCCCTTGCTTTTAACTGGGGTGAGGCAAGGTAAAACTACAGTAAGGATCGAACATAGGGGTGTCCAACTTGGCAGGCTGAAGATATGTGGACTTCAACTTGGCAGGCTGAAGATATGTGGACTTCAACTCCCAGAATTCCCCAGCCAGCACAGCTGGCTAGGGAATTCTGGGAATTGAAGTCCACGGGTCTTAAAGGAGCCAAGGTTGCACCTCCCGATCTAAAATAAAATTCTTTAAAAGAGTTGAAACATGAAACAACCCCGCTGTCTATTGTGCCTACGTTTGGACACTGCTTTTCTTTTTCTTTAGGGAAAAAAAAACACGACACAAAAAATCCCTTTTGCCTGTTGCGGATAAATTTGGACCCTGCCTTTATTTTTCTTTAGGAAAAAAAAAAAAAGACATCGCTGCAGTGATTAAGAACTCTGTCTTAAAAAAGGCCCCAATATATTTGCAGAGATAAGAAAATGGGGCAGGAGCAGTTAATAATAATAGTAAAGTTGGAAGGGACCTTGGAGGTCATCTAGTCCAACCCCCTGCTCAGGCAGGAAACCCTACACTATTTTGGACAAATGGCTGTCTAGTCTCTTCTTAAAAACTTCCAGTGTTGGAGCATTCACCACTTCTGGAGGCAGGTTGTTCCACTGATTAATTGTTCTCACTGTCAGGAAGTTTCTCCTTAGTTCTGGATGCAAGTATTCCAAGTGTGGCCTTACCAAGGCATTGTAAAATGGTATTAATACTTCATGTCATCTTGATTCTATCCCTCTATTAATGCAGCCTAGCACTGTGTTGGCCTTTTTGGCAGCTGCAGCACATGGCTGGCTCCTATTTAAGGGATTGTCCACTAGGACTCCGAGATCCCTCTCACAATTTGGACCCTGCCTTTATTTCTCTTTAGGAAAAAAAACAAAACCACATCGCTGCAGTGATTAAGAACTCTATCTTAAAAAATGCCCCAATATATTTGCAGAGACAAGAAAATGGGGCAGGAACAACAGTTCAAGGAGACAGATTTGGACTTTGAAACGGCAAGAGTCGGAAGAACCAACCAATTAACCCCTGATTTTGGAATTACGGGGCCACCACAACGGGGAAAAAAGCACCAGACCTGAAGGAATTCAAACCTCTTCTTCACAAGTTCCTGCGTCCCGGGAATCCCAAGTGGGTGATTCCCAAAGACTGGAGAAATGCAGGATGGGAATTTGAGGGAGGGTCCCCATATAGCTGGGTTTGGGACAGATTGAGCCAAGGGACCTATACAAACAAGAGTTTAAAACAGTATTTCTCAAGCTTGGCCACTTTAAGATGAGTGGACTTCAACTCCCAGAATTCCCCAGCCAGTGTGCCTGCCTGGGGAATTCTGGGAGTTGAAGTCCACCCATCTTAAAATGACCCAGATTGAGAAACATTGCCTTAAAGCCTGGGTTAAACAAAGCCAATGAGCTCCAGAAACCATAGAGTCTGTTATCTAGAGAAGCCAGACCCGGGGGAATTCTGGGAGTTGAAGTCCACCCATCTTAAAGTTGCCCAGATTGAGAAACATTGGCTTAAAGCCTTGGTCAAACAAAGCCAACGAGCTCCAGAAACCATAGAGTCTGTTTTCTAGAGAAGCCAGACTCCAGGGAATTCTGGGAGTTGAAGTCCTGTGGGGAAAAATGCATGCACAGCAAATTGGCTGTGCTTCCCCCCCCCCACAAACCTCATAACCTTTTGATACCCTTTGTCCCAGTGAAGCAGCCAAAAGGTCATCCCCTTTTGACTTAATGCCTAAATAGATAATATGCTTAGTTCCGTCTCCTATCTCTTCCTGCCTTTGTTAGTTCCTTCTTCTGTTTGCTCTTCACCTGGTCTTTGACCACGTAATGTGTTACTAGAAAATAGTTGCTTACATCAGTGGTTCTCAACCTTTTTAATGCCGTGACCCCTGACCGGTCGTAAGTCGAGGACTACTCAACCGGTCGTAACTCAACCGTTTGCAGAATGGGACTTTTGGCGGGCTCAGCGGGGCAGAGACAGCCTGGACAATTCCTATTGGCTTTTGAAAGCCAATAGAATTAGACTCTATTCAAGAGAGTCTCTTCTATTGGCTTTCAAAAGCCAATAGAATAAAAGGGAGGAGCACAGCTAAGGAAAAGGGGAAAAAAATGGCGGACTGCGTTGTTTGGCGACCCCCGTGAAATGGTTGCTCGACCCCAAATGGGGTCCCGACCCACAGGTTGAGAACCACTGGAATAGAAAATAGTTGCTTGCATGAAGACATTTTCCAATGAAGAAACCTTTTGTCAGCGTCTAATGTTAAAGCTGGTGTATGTAGTAAGTATATAAGAAGCAATAAACTCAGAGTTTGTCAAGATGTGTCCTGCAGCTTCTAACTTCTGCTCAAGACATGCCTTGTGTCTTTTTCTTAGCATCTTACAAAGTCCATCCATCTTAAAGGGGCCACACTGCTTTAAACCCATTGCCAATATTAAAAATTAACATAGCCACAAAGCTTACCGGGATCTTGCACAATAGCAGTAGTACACGAATCCTGCTGATAGGATGACCGCTATTAAGAGAGAAAAATGAATTAAAATGAATAATCATTCCTAAAAAGTTCTCCGTTGCAGGGCAGCCTAATGTCAAGTCAACCCCAGTTCTGGGCACAACAACACGGAATGCCGACAAGCATTCCACCTTTGTGAAGGAAATGAACTACAGGTCGTCTTTGCTTACAACACTCGTTCGGGGACGGTTCGAAGTTACAACGGCATTAAAAAAAGGGGATTACGACCATTTTTTCACATGCATCCCTGTGGTCACGTGATCAAAACTCAGATTTACGACGATGGCAGTGGCAGCCCAGATTGACCAGGACTAAGTTAAGAGGCCGTATCAATGTCTTAAAATAAAATTTATTTAAATAAATCAAACACAGCAAAGCGCACTAACTCCACACACCCCACCACAATTTAGGCTCAAAACAGCCAAGAATGCCTGAACAGGGATTAAAACAAACAAACAAACCCAAATCCAGATGCTAAATGCAATTGCCAAAACGAGAGCCTTTTCCATTGCAAAAGATGTTAAAAAAAACGGACTAGGTTTTGACTAGGTTGGAGCCAGACTTTTAAATTTCATTTAATTTAATTTTACTTTTGACAGTCTCCTGTGTCACTCCTAGGGTGAATTTTTGGCGCCCGCAGGGTAAAAATCCTGTTTTTGTGTAAGTAATTAAATCTGCCCATCCAGTTTGGAGGGCTGCTGAAACTCTGTGTATTATTCAGGAACATTCCTTACCAAAAAAAGGAATTCCAATTTTGAAGTAATGAGAACCTGCAAGGAAGGAAGAAAAAAAAAAAAAGAATATTAAGGAATTAAAAACGGCTCGCCCCTTCTTTTCATCGGCAAGAAGCTGCAAGCTTTAGCTTTTGATATGCTATTATTATTTATAGTGAATGCAAAAACATGCACGTTAGAAGCTTGTTTGTGGGTCCTTGACTTGACTGTCGTAAGTAGGAACCATTACTGTTTTTCCACACTTAACGACTGTTACAGAATCCCCAAGGTCACTTATTCAAAATTTGGATGCTTGGCAACTGGCTCATCTTTATGACATATTCTTCCCCCCCCTTCATTCCTCCTTCCTCTTCTCCATCTCCTTCTCCTCCTCCTCTCCGCAAACCCTTCTAGTACTGATGATGTTACCTAGTTGGGTCAGGAAACACCTCCAAGAAAATAATCAAGCTCAGAGAGCATCAAGGACTCCACAGTCTTTTTCCTCCTCCTCCTCCTCCTCCTCCTCCTCCTCCTCCTCCTCCTCCTCCTCCTCCTCCTCCTCCTCCTCCTCCTCCTCCTCCTCAAACCCCCTTCCCTTCTAGCACTGATGATGTTACCTAGTTGGGCCAGAAAAGGTCTGCAAGAAAATAACCAAGCTCAGAGAGCATCAAGGATCCCACAGCCTTTTTTCTCCTCCTCCTCCTCCTCCTCCTCCTCCTCCTCCTCCTCCTCCTCCTCTCCGCAAATCCCACTCCCTTCTAGCACTGATGATGTTACCTAGTTGGGTCAGGAAACATCCGCAAGAAAACAATCAAGCTCCGAGAGCACCAAGGACCCCACAATCTTCCTCCTCCTCCTCCTCCTCCTCCTCCTCCTCCTCTCCACAAACCCCCTTCCCTTCTAGCACTGATGATGTTACCTAGTTGGGTCAGAAAAGGTCTGCAAGGAAACCACCAAGTTCAGCGAGCACCAAGAACCCCACAGTCGCCGTCATTGTCATCGTCGTCGTCGTCCTCCTCCTCCTTCTCCTCCTCCGATCCACGAACCCCCCTCCCTTCTAGCACTGATGATGTTCCCTAGTTGGGTCAGGAAACATCTGCAAGAAACCCACCCAGCTCAGCGAGCACCGAAGACCCCACAATCAACCCTGAGCTGCAAATATTCTCTTCTAGCGATACAAGGCGAACACATTCACACGGGGAACACCCAACTCTTCAAACTAAGAGGACACACTCCGGTCATGAAGGGTTAATGCGGACACGCCGAAGGCGGCTGGGGTTAGAAACACGCGTGCATGCCTGGAACAAACCTGTAATGCTCTGCCAAACGCCCGTATCAGTGGGATCTGTGGTATTTCCAAGCGGGCCCTCCGATGGTGCAGACGTAGTTTGTTGCGGTGTCCACTGTGTGTTGATATTTTCGTCTGGGGAAAATGGCGTCCTGGTCGGGGAGGGGGTTACACTTTTGGAAACTGTGCCCGTAGTCATCCATCCACCCCCTGAGGTGGCTGTCACCGTTGACCCAAGGCTATCGGAGGACGGCTTCGCTGTCCCACGCGGAGGGGGTGCAAAACTTGACGTCTCCACTACTGGTGAGGTGGTCTGACTTCCATACAGACGTGCAGGGACTCTCCCTGGATTTGTACACTGGATCTGTGTAGGTCGGGCAGTTTCTACTTGTACAAATATGGGATGAAGTAAAAATTCTTAGCCACATTCGAGGGCAGATCCTCACGTGGTTTTAGTTTAGACAGAGTTAGAGATTAGTAACGTCAATCCTCAGGCAGCTGCTTTACAGAAGGGGACAACTCGGCGCAGCTGATTCGCGACAGCCAACTTGATGTGGGACAATCCACTGTGGACCATTCAATTCTTCGATATTAGTGTAACTTCTGTCTCGCAGCGAGTTGTCCTGTGGCAAGTTGGCTGAGGTGAGTTGGTGAGTTGGCCAAGGTGAGTTGATGAGTTGGCCAAGGTGAGTTGGTAAGTTGGCCAAGGTGAGTTGGTTAGTTGGCCAAGATGAGTTGGTGAGTTGGCCAAGGTGAGTTGGCCAAGGTGAGTTGGTGAGTTGGCCAAGATGAGTTGGTAAGTTGGCCAAGGTGAGTTGGTGAGTTGGCCAAGGTGAGTTGGTGAGTTGGCCAAGGTGAGTTGGTGAATTGGCCAAGGTGAGTTGGTGAGTTGGCCAAGGTGAGTTGGTAAGTTGGCCAAGGTGAGTTGGTGAGTTGGCCAAGGTGAGTTGGTGAGTTGGCCAAGGTGAGTTGGTGAGTTGGCCAAGATGAGTTGGTGAGTTGGCCAAGGTGAGTTGGCCAAGGTGAGTTGGTGAGTTGGCCAAGGTAAGTTGGTGAGTTGGCCAAGGTGAATTGGTAAGTTGGCCAAGGTGAGTTGGTAAGTTGGCCAAGGTGAGTTGGTGAGTTAGCCAAGATGAGTTGGTGAGTTGGCCAAGGTGAGTTGGCCAAGGTGAGTTGGTGAGTTGGCCAAGGTGAGTTGGTGAGTTGGCCAAGGTGAGTTGGTAAGTTGGCCAAGGTGAGTTGGTAAGTTGGCCAAGGTGAGTTGGTGAGTTGGCCAAGGTAAGTTGGTGAGTTGGCCAAAGTGAGTTGGTAAGTTGGCCAAGGTGAGTTGGTGAGTTGGCCAAGGTGAGTTGGTGAGTTGGCCAAGGTGAGTTGGCTGAGGTGAGTTGGCCGAAGGGACTAGGGAGATTCTCAGTCCTCCAGGTCACAGTTGTACTGAAGGTTTGATGGTTGACACGGTGTCCCAGAGAAGGACATTCCCCCCTTCCCCACTCCCTGGTTCCCAGTGGAATAAGCACAAAAAGAAGATCTCCTACCTCGGGTGGTGTGGCTTTCAGTCGTGTCCTCCACAGCCAGGTCTTCGTGGGGAAGAAAAGGGAAAGAGAAGACAAGGGGTTGATGGTCATCAAACGAGCTTAGGATGAACTCTTGAGTGCTACCTCTGATTAAACCCTCAAGTAGTAGATTATTTTAAAGAAAGGACAGCCACAAAGAACGAAGATTTCAAAAGCCATCAGCATGGTAGGAGCATAGCTGCTAAAGGTTATTATTCTATCTTGCTCTCCTCACCACCCATCTATTCTATTCTATTCTATTCTATTCTATTCTATTCTATTCTATTCTATTCTATTCTATTCTATTCTATTCTATTCTATTCTGTTCTATATTTCTATTCTATTCTTCTATTCTATTCTATTCTATTCTATTCTATTCTATTCTATTCTATATTTCTATTCTATTCTATTATTCTATTCTATTCTACTCTATTCTACTCTATTCTATTCTATTCCATACTTTCTATTCTCTTCTATTCCTCTTTCCCCTTCTCTTTCCTTCCTTCTTTCCTTTCCTTCCTTTTTCCTTTTCCTTCCTTCCTTCCCATCTCATCTTTTTCCCTTCCTTCTTCTTTCTCATTTCTCTCCTTCCTCCCTCCCTCCCTCCCTCCCTTCCTTTTTTTCCCTTTCCTTTCCTTCTCTTCACTCTCTTCTAGCACTGATGATGTTGCCTAGTTGGGTTATGAAATGTCTGCAAGAAAACAATCAAGCTCAGAGACCACCAAGGACCCTGAGATAGATGTATTCTCTTCTATTAGAAAAATGTCTTTATGGCTTTTTGGGAGCTCTGCAAAGAGGGGACCCAGATATTAAGGGGGGGCAAGGTATCCCAAAGATGGAAGACCATCACGGAAAAGGCTCCACCAGACAGCCTTCCTTCTGCGCCAGGATCTTCTCATCACCCAGATGTCACCAGGCTTAATCCAGAGGACACAACGTCAAAGCTGCCCAAGACCTCAGCCATGTCAACTTTTGAAAGTAACAACCCCCCCCCAGGTGGAAGCCAGGTGGCCCTCAATTCAACTTTCATAGTAGCTTCGTTTTCGTGGGGGACCTTAGATGCCTGATGCAAGAAGATCTAGCAGGAGGAACTACTCATGATTCAACATCAGACCATATTCTGAGCGTCCCATCACAGAGGAAACTCATCAGATGAACTGAAGAACCTTCCTGGATGATAAGCAAAACATTTCCAAAGTTGGGTGTGTGTGTGTGAAACCAAGAAGGTCCAGGTGCCTATTGGGAAAAAACCCAACCTTGGAGACAATCATGACCAGGATGATTGAAAATCTCCATAGACATCAGATGAAAGTTATGGAGCTACCACAGCCGAAGCAGTGGTCCCCTTCATGCGATGGGGCTACAACCTGGCGTATCCTTCTCCCCATTCTTCTAGACCAGGGCTCTTCAAACATGGTGACTTGAAAACTTGTGGACTTCAACTCCCAGAATTCCCCAGCCAGGGAAACTGGGAATCGAAGTCCACAAGTCTTAAAGGTGCCAAGTTTGGAGACCCTTGGTCTAGACCAGGGGTAGGCAACCTTGGCTCTTTTATGACTCGTGGACTTCAACTCCCAGAATTCCTGAGCCAGCATGGCTCAGCATGGAAACCTCTACCTTTCTCCTCAGCGTGGCTGGCTCAGGAATTCTGGGAGTTGAAGTCCACCAGTCATAAAAGAGCCCAGGTTGCCTACCCCTGGTCTAGAGCCACTTTTGATGTCCTCCACTAGTCTGAAGATCTGGCTTTCTAAAGGTGTCCTCCACAGCCAGCCACCTTGGGGAGGTTGCTACGGGTTCTCCTAACCCGGGGCCACAATAAATACTCACAGATACAAACCAGTTGGGGTGGACTCCATCTATACTTCCTGGTTATTGCGTCTTGTTCACAAACAATGAGGCTGGACGTGCCGGCTTTCCTTTTGAAGTTCTCTAGGCAGGCGTATCGCAATTTGTTGCCGTGGCTGTTCTCATAGACAATGCGTGCGTTGGCCACCGGTTTGGGGACACCACATTTACCTGGGTAACACACACATTTGAGTGAGCTCACCCCAAAAGGCATAAGGGGACATCGTCTTAACACAGAGCAAAATTGGGAGGAAGTGATTCTTTGATTTATTTTCATGGATCTGTTCTTATTTCTTTATTGTCTTTGATTACTTTATTTCATATATTTATTATTATTTGTTACATATTAATTTTCCTTCCTTTATCTATTCTTCCCTATTGTATTTATTTTCATTATTTCGTCGATGTATTCCTGTTTTGTTGCTTCGTATTTTCTTATTCATCTTTTATTCTTTTTGATTATTTTGATTATTTCATGTTTATTATGTTATATATTAATTTTCCTTTATCTATTCCCTCTTAATGTATTTTATTATTCATTATTTCATATATTTCACTATAGTTTATTGCTTTTCTTTTCTTTTATTCTTTTTGATTTTCATGTTTCTTGTTACTATTTGTTTATATTAATTTCCCTTTATCTATTCTTTTTTGTGATTTTCATTATTTCATCTATTTCTTCCTATTTATTGTTATGTTACTGCTTTTCTTTTATCTTTTATTTTTTTTGATTTTCATATCATGTTTCTTGTTACTGTTTGTTTGTATTAATTTCCCTTTATCTATTCTTTTTTGTGATTTTCATTATTTCATCTATTTCTTCCTATTTATTGTTATGTTACTGCTTTTCTTTTATCTTTTATTTTTTTTGATTTTCATATCATGTTTCTTGTTACTGTTTGTTTGTATTAATTTCCCTTTATCTATTCTTTTTTGTGATTTTCATTATTTCATCTATTTCCTGCCACTTATTGTGTTACTTTTTTTTCTTTTCTCTGATTATTTTCATGATTTTTATCAAGCTATTACTTTATTCCTTTCTTTTGTACTTTTTGATTGTTTTCATGATTTCATCAGTTATTATTTATTATTATATATTAGCTTTCCTCTCTTCTTTTTATTGTATTTCATTGTATTTCATTATTTCCTCTATTTCCTATTATTTGTTGTTGCCTTGTTTGCTTTATCTTTTATTCTTTTTTCATTATTTTCATGATTTCATCAATGTATTACTCTTTCTTGTTTATATATTATTTGTTTTTATTTAGCTCATCTGATCAGCCTTCTTCTCTGGCCTGCCTAGCTCAGGGGTTCTCAACCTTGGCAACTTTAAGACTTGTGGACTTCAACTCCCAGAATTCCTCAGCCAACTGGCTGAGGAATTCTGGGAGTTGAAGTCCACAAGTCTTAAAGTTGCCAAGGTTGAGAACCCCTGGCCTAGCTGATGCCCAGGCAGCTTCTGTAGCTCAAGAGATTTGAACCTAATCTCCCCATAGATAGTCCAGTACCTTGGATTATATAAACCTATTTTAAGGTGGAAGAACAAAGATGGAAGGGACCTCGGAGGTCATCTAGTCCAACCCCCTGCTCAGGCAAGAAACCCTATGCTATTTCGGACAAATGGCTGTCCAGGCCCTTCTTAAAAACTTCCAGTGTTGGAGCATTCACTGCTTCTGGAGGGAAGCAGCTCCACTGATTGATTATTCAGCTCTACAGAGAATCATTAAAACTGCCCAGAATATTATCGGATCTCAGCTACCAGCCCCGGGCAACATCTTCAAATCTCGTTGTTTGAGGAAGTTGTATAACATTCTCAGGGACTCTTCCCATCCTGCTTACAATCTCTTTGGACTGTTGCCTTCTGGCAGAAGATACAGAACAATTAAAACTCGGACTACCACGTTTTCTGAATAGTTTTTATCCCAGAGCTATAATTGCACACAACAATGAACCAAAGGGCCACCATCAGTGAACTGTTGGATAGTATTACTTGGTCTGTTGTGTGGATGTTTGGTTGGTCTTAGGGGTGGGGAATTGTGGTGGGTGGGAGTGTGTTTGGGGATTATGCGTGGGGGACCTGGTCTTTGGGTGTCAAGTAAATTTCGTTGTATGTGTACACTGTGTATACACATACAATGACAATAAAGTTTATTTATTTATTTATTTCAATTGTCAGGAACATTCTCCTTGATTCCAGATTGCTTCTCTCCTTGATGAGTTTCCATCTGTTGCTTCTTGTCCTGCCTTCAGGTGCTTTGGAGGAAAGGATGGGATAGAATGACAGAGTTGGAAGGGACCGTGGAGGTCTTCTAGTCCAACCCCCTGCTCAGGCAGGAAATCCTACACCAGTGATGGCGAACCTTTTAGAGACCGAGTGCCCAAACTGCAACCCAAAACCCACTTATTTATGGCCGGGGGGGGGGGCAGGCGGGCGTGGCCCATTGGGTGGGCGTGGCTGGGGTGGTCATGGCAGACTGGGTGAGTGTGGCCAAGGTGAGCGTGGTCACCTCGATGTTGCTCGTGGGGAGGGACACCTGTGGGGGCCGGGCAGGGTTGGGGGAGATCCAGGGGGTCTCTGGCAGGTGGGGCGGTGGGCAGGAGGCTCGCCTTGCAGGGTGAGGCGAGGCAAGGCGAGGCAGGACAGGGGTGCCATTGCCGCAGGGCAAGGCAGGGCAGGGGCTGGGGTGGCTGCTTCCTGACACCATCGGCCCCCGCACACAGAGGCCAGCAAGCGCATGGGGGACAACGGTGTCCGTCAGCAGCCACAGCCTGCCGGCCCCTTGACTGGCGCACTCTGGGGCTCCGCAGCCCGCCCCCAGCAGTTCAAAGAAGCAGAGATGCAGTGGGTCGTGCCCGGGAAAAGGAGACCATGCGAGGCCAGGAGGGATGGGACAGGGGGGGGAGAGAAAACAGCCATGCTGGGATGCATCCGGCCATGTGGGACCTCGGTGAGTTAGTGGGCGGCTGGGTGAAGAGCGACGGTTGCCATCTTCGAGGCATGGTGCGCGTGCCCACAGAGAGGGCTCCAAGTGCCGCCTCTGGCACGCGTGCCCTAGGTTCGCCACCACTAACCTATACATTTCGGACAAATGGCTGTCCAGTCTCTTCTTAAACCCTTCCAGTGCTGGAGCATTCACTGCTTCTGGAGGCAGGTTGTTCCACTGGTTAATTGTTCTCACTGTCAGGAAGTTTCTCCTTAGTTCTAGGTTGCTTCTCTCCTTGATGAGTTTCCATCCGTTGCTTCTTGTCCTGCCTTCAGGGGCTTTGGAGAACAGCTTGACTCCCTCTTCTTTGGGGCAGCCCCTGAGAGACTGGAAGGCTGCTATCCTGTCCCCCCTCGTCTTTCTCTTCATTAAACTAGACATCTCCAATTCCAGCACTATTCTTCATATGTTTTAGCCTCCAGTCCCCTGATCATCTTTGTAGCTCTTCTCTGCCCTCCTTCTGACAGCCTTTTTTTTTCTTTTCTTTTTTCTTTTTTTGTTCTTCCTGTTTCACAACTACGAGGATTGCAATTATTTGATTTCCAGCAATGGTGGTTACCTAAGGAAGGAAGTGCCTTCAAGGGACAGGGAAGAAGCCTGACCAAAAGGACAGCCTCATGGCAAGCGGGCGAAAATCACGCTTGCAAGATGTGTGTGATCTTGCAGTCACAAGTTCTCCACCGCTTCCTCCTTTGGGTGAGAAGGGCTATCATTCAGAGAATCAGTTCTGCTTCCTACCTCCTTGACTCTGAAAACAGATCCTTAAAGCCAGGGGTCTTCAAACGTGGCCCTTTCATGACTCGTGGACTTCAACTCCCAGAATTCCTCAGCCAGCATGGACGATATAAGCCAGGGGTCTTCAAACTTGGCCCTTTTATGACTTGTGGACTTCAATTCCCAGAATTCCTCTGTCAGGATGGACCACATAAGCCAGGGGTCTTTAAATGTGGCCCTTTGATGACTTGTGGACTTCAACTCCCAGAATTCCTCAGCCAGCCTCCATTTTGTTTGTTTAGATTTAAGACAGGGGTCTTCAAACTTGGCCCTTTGATGACTTGTAGACTTCAACTCCCAGAATTCCTCAGCCAGCCTCCATTTTGTTTGTTTAGATTTAAGACAGGGGTCTTCAAACTTGGCCCTTTGATGACTTGTGGACTTCAACTCCCAGAATTCCTCAGCCAGCCTCCATTTTGTTTGTTTAGATTTAAGACAAGTCATCAAAGGGCCAAGTTTGAAGACCCCTGGCTTATATGGTCCATGCTGGCTGAGGAATTCTGGGAGTTGAAGCCCACAAGTCCTAAAAGGGCCAAGTTTGAAGACCCCTGCTTTAAAGGGACCGTTCCTCATCTCAGATTTTGGTACAGCTGAGAAATGGAAACACTACTGCATTTTGTTGCTTAAAGGGCCGGTGTGACTCTCTGCAATCTGAACCCTGTAAAACTGGAATTGCAAAATAGAGATTTCCTATGGCTGCTCCATCACTGGAGGTTTTTAAGAAGAGACTGGACAGCCATTTGTGTGAAAAAGTATAAGGTTTCCTACTTGAGCAGAGGGTTGGACTAGATGACCTCCAAGGCCCCTTCCACCTCGGTTATTCTGCTATTCTTTCTTTCTTTCTTTCTTTCTTTCTTTCTTTCTTTCTTTCTTTCTTTCTTTCTTTCTTTCCCTTTCTTTTTCTTTCTCTCTCCTTCCTTCCTTCCTTCCTTCCTTCCTTCCTTCCTTCCTTCCTTCCTTCCTTCCTTCCTTCCTTCCCTCCCTCCCTCCCTCACTCCCACCTTTCTCCATCACTGGAAGTTTTTAAGAAGAAACTGGACAGCCATTTGTCTGAAATGGCAACAGGTTCTCCTGGTTGAGGAGGGGGCTGGACTAGAAGACCTCCAAGATCCCTTCCAGCTCAATTCTATTCAGCACTTGAAGGGAGGAAGCACATAGATATGTAGCTGGTGGGCAATCTTTACTCCCTTTCCTACAAATCACGTGTCCTTTGAGGAAAAGGAGAAAAACATCCCTTTATTTGTATTTGCAAGAACTGGTTGGGGAAGGTAGAAGAGAGAAAGTTTTTTTTCCTCTTTTTTCAACGAAATGATTTCATTTCAGGGAAAAGGAAAGTGAAACTTTGCTCCAGATGAGGAAATCACGTCATGCACCTGTAGATTCAATTGCCAGATCATTGTGCTGGCTGCTGCC